CAGTGAGTGAATAAAGAAAGCTGCACAAATACAAAGAGAACCAGTCATCAGTAGGCAATGCTCCCTAAATCATGCTTGTCATGAAAGTTTTCACCAAAACGTAACTCAGTGAGAAAAAATAAGCAAAATGGAGGGAATTTTCATAATGCCACATAGTTTGCACTACATTTTATCCTACTCTCTTAGTATTAAAAAGACCTTTGCTGCAATTTATAAAATGATAGTATTACTAGATAATAGTTTTCAGTGTTTGTGATTTTTAAATTGGCATTATTTGAGAAATTTAAATGGGCTACTCTATCTCAGTCATCCAACTTCATTTCACTTTAATAGTCCCCTCTTCATAAAGCCTGAGAGTCTGATTTCATGGATCTAAGAGACATCAAGGTATAATTTTCCAAGTATTAAAACATGAATCTAGTACAAATATATAGTGTACAGATGTCGGAATGTTTTGAACTCATTAACGAGAAAATGGGCTAAAATGCTAAGCCTTTTCAAAGGATGTGAAATTTAGAGAGAAAGAGAGGAATCTGAAATAAGACTATAATTTAGATAAAGGACAATAACATCTTAATCACTGGGGGTTACCTTTTTCAAACAACTAATCACTGAATCTTTCACCAGAAATAATTTGAACTATGTCAACCTTTCCTAAGTTGACATGCAGCTTTAGAGAATTTGGACCCTCATCAACAGTAAACAATAAACCAAGCAAAATTGCTTCCTCTCAGTGTGACAGGGGACTCACATCCATTCATTAAGATGATCTCTATTTGAATAAAAAGACCACACAGAAATCTTGCTTTGTTCCAGTTTTAAATAATTTAAAGGAATTTTTTGAATATTCAGATGTAAATCTGTGTATATTTGTGTGCATGTATGTGTGGGATGTATATATGTATATAGACATATATATTTATAGATTGAAACTAGGAGTAAAAAATAGTTATTTTTACTTGAAGCTATTACTGTGAGTTTGGTGATTTCTCAGGGGTTCCATAGCATAGTACTCCAACCAAGTGGCCTGGAGAACAGAGATGAGCTGTATTCCAGTTCTGGAGGCTGCAAATTCAACATCATCATGCTGGCAGGACAATGCTGCCTAAAACTGCCAGAAAGGATCTGTTCTAGATCTCTCTCTCCCCTAGCTCTTGTGGTTGCTTGGCTTATGGCAGTATAACTTGTGCAAGTGTTCACATTGCACCTTCCTCATGTAAATGTTCACATTGCATGCTCCTTGTGTAAGTATTCACACTGCACCCTTCCTGTGTTCATGTCCTGATTTTCAGCCATATTACATTAGGGCCCACACTAATCCATAATGACCTCAACTGGACTAATTACACCTGCAAGGACTCTATTTCCAAGAGAGGACATTTGGAGATATTAGGGCTTAAAACTCCAACATATGTACTGGGAAGGGGTTACAATTAAATTCATAATAATACATAAGCTTTTACTGAGAATTTTCTTCACTTTCTAAATTTGCAGGAAAAAAATAACTCTAATATTCATTACCAAAAAATACTTAAGAATGGTTCTTAGAATTCTTTATTAGTTTCCTGGGACAGCCATAGCAAATAACCATGACCTGGAAGACTTAAACAACAGAAGTTCATTCTCATAGTCTAGAGAGCTAGAGGCCAAAAATCGAGATCTTGGCAGGGCCATGTCCCAGGTGAAGGTTTCAGGGAAGAATCTTTCCATGTTTCTCCATCTCTCCTGTGGTTGTGGGCAGTCCTTAACATTCCTTGGCTTTCTGCCTCTGTCTTTACATTCTTTACATCTAATTATTTTAACTTTTTTTTTTTACATAGGGTCTTAGGTAGCCCAAGCTGGACTCCAACTCTATGTAGCTGAGAATGGCCTTAAACTTCTGGTCCTCATGCTTCTACATGAGTGCTAGAATCACTAGAGTGTACTCCTCTACCTGATTTATGCTGGAGATCAAACCCAGGGCCTCATATATATTATTAGGCTAGCATTCTACCAATCAAGCTACAACTCCAGCCTACTTTTTTTTCACATTTTAAAAGTCATTTTCTTCTGAATTGTCCTAGGGCTTACCATAAATGTCATGACTTACCAGAATCAAATTAAGATAAATCCACATTTTATTCCAGTGAGATTAATAAGTGGTACTATACAATATAACATCTCCATAGCGCCTCTCCATTTTGTGTCTTTGTTTTGTGTATGTGTGTGTTTGTGTGTGTGTGTGTGTTTCATACCAAAGAATATGAGGTTGTTATACAAATTTATGCCTACTGAAGCAGTTAAGAAAAGAACAAAGTAAAATTCTTTATAGACTTTGTCATATCCACCGTATTATTTGTCATTTCTAGTCTCTTACATGTTGCCCTGAACTTACACTACCGTCTTGCATCCTTTCATTCTCAACTGGAGTCTTTGCTGACATCCACTCTCCTCATGCTGTTATTAATCATTGTATGGCATGTCTATGCTCATCTAACTGTTATGTATAGCTATTCTTAATCCTATTTAAATAAGTTAAGAAAAGAAACAAAGAGAAATAGGAACGTACGGTTTGAGGGCTCTTCTTCGACTGTCTTTTCATGTTCACCCTGGCACACTAACAGACCCACCTAGACAGCTAATCTCATCAATGTACCAACCTCCACTTAACTGCTAAGCATCAGAACCTTGATTATTGTGGAGTGGAGCCCTCGGGCTTGAACTTTACCGCATGCTGCTTCAAGGCAGCTCAGTTCTATTGGGAAGAATTCTGAAGCTCTGTGTTCTTGGGAATTACCTCTCCCACCAGGGGGAAAAAAATGAAAAAGCCCTAAGCCGATTGTTACAGCTGGAGAGTGGGAACAGGAGTCTCTGGGACTCTCCGTTGACCTTTCCTGCCATGGAATCTTTCCTAGAATTGAGGTGAGATAAAAGAAATCAGAATGGCAGGATTTTTAACTGTCATACCTGGATAGGGCTTCCTGCTAATAAATGGGGACTGGGTGAAGCCCCGATTTCTCAGCCACACTCACAAGAAATTTAGATTCTGCAACTCAGTAATGGAGTATGAGAAATGTTGGGGTTTGTCTCTTCATGGGAGATGCTATATCCACTGATAAGAGTTTAGGAAAGGGGTGAGGTTCTGGCTGTACCCACCCATATGGAGTTCCATGTCAGGACTTAGTATCACAGCAGTCCTGCCATTCCTATCTGATGTTAAGTAAATACTCTCAAATCGACGCTTCTTCCTTTGCTACAGTGGTGCCCAACCTTCCTAATTCTGAGACCCTTTATTACAGTTCCTCATGTTGTGGTGACCTTCCCCCCCAACCATAAAATTGTTTTTGTTGCTACTTCACAACTGTAATTTTGCTACTGTTATGAATCACAATGTAAATATCCAATATACAGGATATCTGCTATGCCCAAGGGGGTTGCCATTCACAGGATGACAACCACTTCTTTGCTGAAGACCATTTGACACAAGCTCTATATACTAGAAATTGTTGGGTTTAAAAGGAAATACATTCCACTAGTTAGGCTCATTTGATAGGGGAGCGAGCCCACAAAATTTCTTGCAACTGTTCCTAATATCACTCCACTGTAATAGGTTTGGTCTTTGCTTTTAACTGAAAATTTGAACCAACACTCAGTGGCTGTCCAAACTGGGAAAAGTAAATATATTACCAATGTTGATTTTTTTTATGACATTTTGTGATTAAAAATATTTGAAAAGTGGATTGAAAGGTCTGAACTTTCCCCCATTTTACAACTGGGCCTGAGTTTCAGTTTCCTACAAGAACAATAAGGGAGATAGCATGTCCTAAGTCTGAGCCAACCCCCACAGTACCTTAAGGTAGAGCCCAAAAAGGACAATTTCTATAATCTCTCTAAAACATACCCTCACTTGCCCAAATATGCCCCAAAATAGTAAAAGTATAACCACAGACAATTAAAATTGTCCTAATGTACCCACAGGCTGCTTGACCAATTGTGTTTGGGATCACCTAACTGTTCCTAAAATTCTCCTAACTGAGCTTAAAAGGGGAAGGCCGGGCGGTGGTGGCGCACGCCTTTAATCCCAGCACTCGGGAGGCAGAGCCAGGCGGATCTCTGTGAGTTCAAGACCAGCCTGGGCTACAAAGTGAGTCCCAGGAAAGGATCAAAGCTACACAGAGAAACCCTGTCTCGAAAAAAACCAAAAACAAAACAAACAAAAAAAAAGGGGGGGGGCAGCATTCTCCTTTCAGGGTCACTATTTTTATACAATGGCACCATTTGCATAAAATGGCGACCCTGCATGCTGGAATAAATGTTCTTTTTCTTTGCATGCTATTGGTCTGGGGTCTTCCTTCAGGGATTCTCAGACCCTTACATGGATAAGATGCTACTTTACATATATTTTTCTCTCACGCCCTATGAGAGACTGCCAGTGTTTGATAGAAAGTGATCAGAGGAAAGGATTGGAGAATATTTACTATGTTTTTCATATTGTGAAAATGGTCAAAAATCTACACTCAAAATCCAAAGCAGACACTTGTTGAAGTAGATAGTCAAAAATGAGAGCTGGGCGCAAACCAGAGTTCCCTTTCATGTCAATCCAACCACAAACGTCGGTCTGGTGACAGCATCACTGTTAAAGAACAGCCAGGTCCATTCATCAACACTCCACATCAGCTTGGGAGATCAGGCAAAAAGAAGTCCCCTGCTCATGACATTTGTTGGTCCCTTTAGTGCTTCAAAAGTGGTTTTAATTTCCAAATAAAGTAGTAAATAAATGAGTAAGTGATCTCTTGTGGATCTGTAGTCTTCTGCAAAAGTAGAGTATTTGGGAAATGATATCCTGTTTGTGTTTTCATGTATTACTATTTCCTGCTATGTGCCTTGAAAGTGATTGTCAGTTTACAAAACGTGACATCTATAAATGTGCTTTAATTACTCATTCATTTCAATCATTCAGTCAACAAAGACTTATTGAGTGACTACTGAGCCAGGCTTCTCAGAATTCTGCAGATACTCACGTATGAGTTAATCAAGGTCCCCGTCTCTCACAGTTTTCTAGGTACTGCCTTAAACTGAGAAGTGCCGGGCATGCTATGTGTCATCCTGGATACAGTCATACTCTGTTCAGATGACCCTGTCGGGGGAAAAAAGAGGTCATTTGCATGAACATCTGGGAGTGTTGGCTGCTGCTGCATCTCATAGCTACAGCTCTCTCTCTCTCTCTCTCTCTCTCTCTCTCTCTCTCTCTCTCTCTCTCTCTCTCTCTCTTGAAATTGTGCTCTGTCAAAGGGACCTTCCTCATCCAAGGTTACAGCACCTCCTCTAGGGCATCTTCTAATCAATGACTGGTTAAAGTGAAGCGTGAAAACCTGTTATGCTTTCGTCCATTTGTGAGTGACTTTGAAGGGCTCTCATAGCTTCAAAAATCCCAAAGGATTATGTGAGCCTTCAGATACGATTTTGTTACTGTGCAATTTTTGTGGCTGTCCACTTCGGCTTCTCCAATAGTCCACACACAGGCTCCATTTCCTATTGCTTCTAGGAAACTCAATGTAAAATGATGGGTACCAGAAATGAATAAAATTTTTGAGCTGAATCACTTCCTGCTCAACAGTGGGAAAAACTCATTATAACTGTCACCGACCTTCAGAGATGCTTGCACTGTTAACCCCACAACTCTGGTGAAGAAATGGTACTGGGGAGGTGAATACTTAAGTCCATACTCTTGAGATGCTTGGAACCCAAATGTAGCTGGACCTGGTGGGCAGCAGAAATGCCCAATTTGTTTCTGCCAAATACAGATCTGTCCCTCTTGCCTGAGATTGATACAGTGATTGTGTCTTAAGAGACATTATCCTGCTCCCCCAGAAGCCACCTCCACCCACCTCCTAGTCACCAGCCCTTGACTGAAGGCCAAGTCTCAGCATAAACCATGTGAGGAATTTTGGGTGTGCTAAGTAAGGGGTGGGAATTACCTCCTAAGAGAACAGGCTTCCCCGGAGAACTGGTAGGACCCAGAAGAGGGTTTATGAGACCAGAACACAGAGTTGTTGTATTAAGAAATACAAAAGGTGAGCTGGAGAGATTGCTCAGTGGCTAAAAGCGTGTTCTGCTCTTGCAAAAAGCATGAGTTCAGTTCCCAGCACCCATGTGAGGCATCTCATAACCTCCTGTTAACTAAAACTCTGGGATCTCTGTCACTCTCTTACGAACTCCTCAAGTGCCTGACTCATGCGCACTTGCCCACATACAGACTTGTCTCAGGGTTATTATTGATGTGATGAAACACCATGACCAAAAGCAATATGGGAAGAAAGGGTTTATTTTACTCACACGTTCATATAACAGTTCATCATCAAATTTGCAGTGAAGGCAGGAACCTGGAGACCAGAGCTGATGCAGAGACCATGGAGGGGTGCCGTTTACTGGTTTGCACCCCATGGCTTATTCAACTTGCTTTCTTTTTTCTTTTTCTTCTAATTTGTATTTATTACACTTTTTAAAGATGGTGTAAGCAATGAAGAACAGTTATCAAATATCCTCTTTGCATATTTGAAGCATCTTTTGTTCAACAAACCCAGCAATGTAGGAGCCAGACACTCTGCCTCGTTAGATAGTTTGGTACATTCTTTTTTTTTTTCTTTATTCAGAAATTTTCTACTCACTCCACATACTACCCACAGATCCCACCTCCTTCCCCCTCCCACTCCCAGGCCTCTCTCCCAAGCCACCCCGCATCCCCATACCCCCCAAATCAAGGTCTCCAATGGGGAGTCAGCAGAGCCCGGCACACTGAGCCTAGGCAGGTCCAAGCCCCTTTCCACTGCACCAAGGCTGTGCAAGGCATCACACCACAAGCACCGGATTCCCAGAAGCCTGACCATGCACCAGGGATGGATCCTGATCCCCCTTCCTGGGTGCCCCCCAAACAGTTTGAGCCAAACAACCGTCTTCTGTATTCAGAGGGCCTAATCCAGTCCCATGGGGGCTCCACAGCCACTATTCTATAGTTCATGGGCTTCCACTAGTGTGGCCTGTCATCTCTGTACGTCCTCCCATCATGATCTCGATGTCCCTCACCTGCAGAATCCCTCCTCTCTCTCTCATTGATTGGATTCCCGGAGCTCAGCCTGGTGCCTGACCGTGGATCTCTGTATCTGCCTCGCCGTGGATCTCTGCATCTGCCTCCATCAGTCACTGGACAAAGGCTCTATGATGACATCAACTTGCTTTTTTATAGAACCCAAAACTACTAGCCCAGAGGTGGCTCCACCCACGATGGGCTGGGCTTTCCCCAATAAATCACTGAGTAAGAAAACACCTTACAGTCAGATCTTATGGAGACATTTTCTCAGTTGAGGTTCCTTTCTCTCTGATGACTCTAGTGTGTGTCAAGTTGAAAACTAGCCAGTACAAGACACATACACATATACATAATTAAAAAAAATCTTAAATGAAATACAAAACATATATGAACAAGGAAGAACTTGATAGGTAAGGATCCTCCTATAACACATAATTAGCACCCTAATTATGAAGGCCATAACATCTGCTATGATGTCTTCTGGAGGCTGGAAGAGAGCTGTATCCAACACCAGAGCTTTTGTTTTGTTTTGTTTTGCTTTTTTTTTTTCAAAACAAAGTTTCTTTTGTAGCCTTGGCTGTCCCGGAACTCTCTCTGTAGACCAGGCTGGACTCTAACTCACAGGTCTGCCTGCCTCTGCCGTCTGAAGGCTGGGATTAAAGACCTGTGTCACCCCTGCTCAGCCGCACCAGGACTTTACTGCAGTCTTGGTTCTGAGCTTACAACATGCACTTTGCACGGTGTGTGCCATCACACTATGCAATGCCAGGAAGAGATGCCTGTAACTGGAGCCTTTTCTCTGTCCTGCTTGGTCCTGCAGCAGCTTATAAAACAATCACTCAGGGCCTTAATATTAATTACAACCTGTTTGGCCTATGGCTCAGGCTCATTATGAGCTAGTTCTTACATCTTAATTTAACCCATTTCTATTTATCTATGTGTTGCCATATGGCCGGTGGCTTACCGGTACTTTTACATCTTGCTGCCTCACTGGCGTCTTTCTGCTTCCTCCCTCTTCTCCCTGTATCTCTGCTTGGATTTCCCGCCTGGCTATATCCTGCCTTGCTATAGGTCAAAGCAGCTTCTTTATTAACCAATGGTAATAAAACATATTTACATCATACAGAAAGACATTCCACAGTAGATGCCCAATACAGGTATGCTCAGATTCCAGACTATAGCATGTTATGAATCTCAGTACTTTCTGGGTATTGCAAGGTTCTCTGCCCCTGCAGAAATGTAATAGTTTGGAGCAAAGACTTTCATTTTCCTACTATTATTCCTCAACAAAAGTATCAAATTCATACATCTTTGGGTTTGATTGTATAAACAATGTTTGATTTTGAAAACTGCTGTGCTAATTCGTCGCACAGCATTCGGGATTTGGTAGCCAGCACTAGGTGTTCCTCACGCACAATGTAAATACCTAATACATGAAGTGGTTGAAGAATCAGTATTACATTTTGTCTCCTGCTATTGGATCAGCTGTGGAACTGTTCGCTGAACCAGGGAAGATTGGGACAAAACTGCTTTCAGTAAAGAAAGAAGAACCAAGAGAGTTTTCTGGGTGCTAAAGCTCTCTGTATCTAGGCTTTCTCTGGCTGGTCCAGGACTTCCTGGACCACATGGGGAGGGGAATACATGATAGCTGGCGGGCAAGTGCCTCGGCATCCCTGATCCACCAGAATATTCCTGGGGTATGTTTCGTATCTTCTCAGAGAATCCAGGTGGAACTGAGCTATGAACTTAGTGGTACCCAGCTCTTCCCTCGTTTTCTTCATCACCCCATATGACTTTCATTCCCATCCTCCCTTGTGCTTGCTGGGATCCCCTGGCAAGCGAATGACGGCTGTGGCTTTGGTTTCAGGAGGTATATGAACTAAGGCAAGGAATGTGATGGCCATGGTACTCCTTTGCCCAAAATGCTCCCCCCCCCTTCCAGTCTCCCCTTTGTGGAAATCCTCCTTCACATCAGTCAAAGGGTTTCTCCTTCTGCTGTCTAGAATTTACTACATCACTTGTGGGCTTAGGACCCTCACTTTGGCTGAGAAGCCTTATAAGGCAGTCTGTAGTCCTCATAGTAAACATTCTAGTTCTCCTCATGCTTATTTCCTGTTGGGACAGAGGTGTGGGGCTAGTTTGGGCTTTTGTTTTGGTTTGGTGTTTTAATAAGAATCCAGAGGATTCAGATCTGAATGTGGAGAAAGAAAGCTATTTGTTGAACTTTTCTCTAGGGTCAAACACTACAAGTGATGAGAACACACTAAGTAGTTTTGTTGGTGTTTGTCGTGTGTGTGTGTGTGTGTGTGTGTGTGTGTGTGTGTGTGTGTGTACATGCCCTAGGTGGATCGATTTGGTTCCTGCCCCTTGTGGATCTCTATAACCGATGCCCAACCCTAGCATAGAGAACTCTGGTGTGCCTGTGCCTTTACCTTCTGAGATCAAACCCGACAATATAGTTAGTCACTTTCTTTTCAACAATACATAGTAAGAAGCTACAAGGTGAACCCTCTAAAGAGCATGAGCCTGGGTGTTGTATTGTGTATGAGTATGCCTTTGCTCCAGTCCTATGGAAAGAGAAACTGGCCCCAGTGTGCTGGCAACACTGATCCTCATGGCCGTTTACCCCTGAGAGGAGGTAGAATAGGGAGAGCAGCCACAGGAGCCCACTCACGGGACCTGGTGATGCTCTGTCGACACTGGACACTTCAGCATGACTCGTGGTCCCTGGCTCTCTCCAGACTGAGAATCCACTTTTTTGGAAATGTGGAAGAGAAAGGTGAAAATGTAGGGCAGGCAGCTCCAGTGTTTCCTCTCCCGGAGGGTGGTCCATCAGACACGGTGTCCCCATTGTCCTTATTAACACCAGCTAGTCAGTCACATCTGGTTTTATTTTTGGCTTAAAAAGTAAATCTGCACTCATCCTCCTTTCCCAAGCACATTATAAAATCCTAACGAGAAAGGGCTGTCACCGGCTTCCTGTGCACTCCCCACAGTGCTGGAACCATAGAAAAAAAATAACAACATCTTTGAATAACAATAATTATACA